TGAAAACTTTTCCCAAAACCCTGCTGTGATGACTTGCAATATAGTCGGCATTGGCAATTTTTGACAGTCTCTACAGAGACTGATTATAGAAAAAAAAAACAAAAAAAAAACAGAAAAAATAATTAAAAAAAAAGAAAGACTGTAATTTCTATTGAAACATACAGTTTGTTGATAGTCTTCGTCCATTAGTACTTACATTTCTTTGTTAATGTCTAGAAAATGTGTGATTCTAACAAAATTTTCTGATTTCGAAATATTATTTTTCCCTCAAAGACCATCAGAGAGTCTCACTACTACATGTGAGAGGTGCTCTCATGTTTCTTTATTAATTTAAGTCTTGACTTGGGCATTATATTTTATGCTAAGGTAAAATATATTCCTTCTTAGTTGCCCCATTTAAACCTACGGGGGATTCCAAAAGGTTATTTTCAAAAGATTACCTTTAAAATGCCAGGATGTGTGTGCTTAGAGATATGCATTTGTAAATTTCAAAAAGTAGAGGAAAAAGTAAAATTAATGGTTATGATTATCTTTCTGGAAGGCATTACAGACAGTCCTTCACTTATGATCATTCAACTTATGATTTTTCAACTTTACGATGACATGAAAACAATACACATTCAGTAGAAACTGTACTTCGAGGACCCATATAACCATTCTGTTTTTCACTTTCAGTATAGTATTAATAAATTACATGAGATATTCAACACTTTGTTATAACGTAGGCTTTGTGTTAGATAATTTTGTTCAGCTGTAGGCTATTACAAGTGTTCTGAGCACATTAAAGTTAGACTAGGATAAGCTATGATGTTTCGTAGGTAAAGTGTGTTAAATATATTTTTGGACCAGGCATGGTGGCTCATGCTTGTAATCCCGGCACTTTGGGAGGCCGAGGAATGAGGATTGCTTGAGCCTAGGAGTTTAAGACCAGCCTGGGCAACATGGTAAAACCTTATCGCGCCGGGTGCGGTGGCTCACGCCTGTAATCCCAGCACTTTGGGAGACAGAGGCGGGTGGATCACGAGGTCAAGAGATCGAGACCATCCTGGTCAACATGGTGAAACCCTGTCTCTACTAAAAATACAAAACATTAGCTGGGCATGGTGGCGTGTGCCTATAATTCCAGCCACTCAGGAGGCTGAGGCAGGAGAATTGCCTGAAACCAGGAAGCGGAGGTTGCGGTGAGCCGAGATCGCGCCATTGCACTCCATCCTGGGTAACAAGAGTGAAACCCCGTCTCAAAAACAAACAAACAAACAAACAAAACAACAACAACAAAAAAAACACCTCATTGCTACTAAAAATGTAAAAAAGTAGCCAGGTGTAGTGGTACACACCTGTAGTCCCAGCTACCTACTTGGGAGGCTGAGGTTGGGGAATCACTTGAGCCTGGGAAGTTGCTGTAATGAGCCATGATCACACCACTGCACTCCAGCCTGGTGACAAAGTGAGACCTGTCCCAAAAAATAAAAAAAATAAAAAATAAATTGACAACAATATTTTCAGCTTACAATGGGTTTATTGGGACATAACTCCATCACAAGTTGAGGAGCATGTGCATATTTCTCAGCATGGTGGAGTTTTCTGAAATGAGATTGAGTGCCGAGTTCTGCTCTGGTAGAGCTGAAAAGGCTAATAAGCTGGAGCCACAGCAATTTATTTATATTGGCTTAATTCCAGGAAGATGAGAACATGGAATTCAGTGTTTACTGGAAGAAATAACACCTGTGTGAAACCAGGTGATTGCCAAAGGGAACCAAGAAAAATGAAAAAAAAAAAAAAAATTAACAACCCTAACTTCCAACAACTCTAACTGGTTTAGCACAAAGTACTGAGTTGGTGGGCACTTTCCACAAATTGCCTGTATAGATGTACTGGCTCAATGAATAAATTCAGAAAGAAGGCTTTGCCCGGGGTATGCCACACTATTAAATTTGAATGATTTTTCTGGAACAGGAAAATGATGGTTTGGGGATTATCTATGTGGACTATGGGACTAGAGAGACCTCATTTTTTTTTTTTTTTTTTTTTGAGATGAAATCTTGCTCTGCCACCCAGGCTCTAGTGCAATGGTATGACCTTGGCTCACCGCAACCTCCAGAGTAGCTGGGATTACAGGCATGCCTCAGCCTCCTGAGTAGCCAGGATTACAGGCATGTGCTAATTTTTGCACTTTTAGTAGAGGCGAGGTTTCGCCATGTTGGCCAGCCTGGTCTTGAACGCCTGATCTCAGGTGATCCTCCCACCTCGGCCTCCCACAGTGCTGGGATTACAGGTGTGAGCCACCTTGCCGAGCTATGAGATCTCGCTTCTAATCACTATTCTGCCACTTATATAGCTGTGTGATTTTGGGCAAATTGCTTAATTTCTCTCTCTGCCTTGGATTACTTGCCTGTATTGGGGAGTAACAGGGCCTATCTTATAAGTTACGGTAATGATCCAAATGAGATAATGTATGTAAAGTTATGATTTTTATGTATGTAAATAAGTCATGTATATTTAGCAATGAAGGCTATTATAAAGTAAAATAAATGGGTAATGTAAGGTAAAATAAGAGCATTTTAGAATAAAAAGTTCTTTGAAATTTTTGAGTTAGGCACTCATTGGTAAATACTTAGCATCTGATTTGATCAGTAAAATATTGGCCAAGGCTGGATCTACCCTAAATAAGCAACTTTACCTGGTGTCAAAGGGACAACTACTTTATTTACAGAGATGGTAGTGAGCGGCATATTTGCTCATGGCTAACAACAAATTCCTAAATCAAATTAGATGGAAAGGCCCAACATTAGAAAATTCTGGCCGGGCGTGGTGGCTCACGCCTGTAATCCCAGCTCTTTGGGAGGCTGAGGCAGGCGGATCACAAAGGCAAGAGATCGAGACTACTCCAGCCAACATGGTGAAACCCCGTCTCCACTAAAAAAACAAAAACAAGCCCCGTCTCCACTAAAAAAACACTCCTGTAATCACAGCTACTCAGGAGGCTGAGGCAGGAAAATCGCTTGCACGCAGGAGATGGAGGTTGCAGTGAGCCAAGATTGCACCATTGTACTCCAGCCTGGTGACAGAGTGAGGCTCCGAAGATTCTGTGTGCATATGGGTGTATAAGTAAGTGCAGATGTTAGGGATGGTGGCTTTTCCATAGCTGTATATTTTTTTCCTTAAATTATTTTGACTTCTTAGTTATCTACCTAGTGGAGAGGTGTCTTCATTATTTTTATTTTTTATTTTTTTGAGACACAGTCTTGCTCTGTTGCCCAGGCTGGAGTGCAGTGGTGCGATCTCTGTTCACTGCAACCTCCGCCTCCAGAGTTCAAATGATTCTCCTGCCTCAGCCTCTCAAGTAGTTGGGACTATAGGCACCTGCCACCACGCCCTGTTAATTTTTGTGTTTTTAGTAGAGATGAGATAGGGTTTCACCATGTTGGCCAGGCTGGTCTCGAATTCCTGACCTAAATGGTCCACCCACCTCAGCCTACCAAAGTGCTGGGATTACAGGCATGAGTCACCGAGCCTGGCCTAGAGAGGTGTCTTTAAATGGTCACTCAAGTCCTGAGCTTTGGATAGTATGGTAATCTGGGATAATTTTTACTTTTTTTTTTTCTTTCAATCACAGTTGAGTCTTGGATAATTTTTAAAGATTCCAATTCTCCTCTTTCCAGACACCTGGAAGGAATACACTTCTCTACTTCTATGAAGCTAGGCATATCCACATAATTTGACTTGGCAAATGAAATGTGAGAGTAAATAATGAGACTCACCTCTCATTTCCTCTGCGTTGGTCACCGAAGAAGAACATACTGAGATGGAATCTACATTAGCCAACTCTGCCGGCTGGTGTGAGACATGTATTGTGAATAAGAAACAAATTGTCAGCCAGTGAGATCTGGGGGTTGTTTGTTGTTAAAATAGAAGCTAGACTACCCTGACTGATGCAGGCCATGGAGGGCCAGGTATCTACTTGTGGATGGACACAGATTCAGAAGTAGCCTGTGACACAGCTGAACTTTACAGTCTGAGGCCAAACAACTGAACAGGTTGATGCTTAAAGAATGACTCTTCAAAGATGAGAACAGCCCACAAACAAAACAAAACAACATAAAAGGAAAATTCTTCAGAAGCTATGTCCTGAGATCCCTTCTCTTGCTAACAGGACTTTCTCTCCCTCTAGCTACTGCCCCGCATGGAAGGTTGATGCATTCACTTTCTCCTTTACTATCTCTGATTCATACAACTATAATTGTCGAAAAGACATTGAGGACTAATGACATCTTTTATGATTGCTTTCTACATCCCCCTTCCTTGCCAACTCCCTCTCTGCCTCTCTACTTCCTTCCTTCCTGAAAAGAATGAAATGATAGAGTGTGCCTACTGTGGGCTAGGCATTGTTTAAATTTCTAGAAGTGCAAAGCCAAAGGATTGTGATTTGGCCCCAGGTGAGCTTCCATCTAGTTAATGGTAGAGTCTAACCGCTTTAAACAAATACTACTAATATAAAGTGGTGACTGTTATACAGGTACTTATTTACAAAATAACATCTAGGCTCCCAAATAACATGGAGTGGCCGTCATCTTATGTGGCTAAGCCTTGAACTTTATACAGACCTCTAGCCCAAATCAATCCAAACAACACATAATTATCTTAGAAAGATCTGCAGTTAGTAGGAGTCTTTCAAAACTTTGCTAAGTCTTAAGTTTGTGAAGGTCTTGAGTAAGCAAGAGACCATTATTTTGAAACAGAAAAATAGTTAAATACGTAGAGTATTTGAGGAATGTGTGAGAACTGCCTATTCAACTCTGTTGGGCCAGTACGTAGATCTTTCCAACTCACATGACCGTCTCCCTGTTGGCACAATCAAACATATCTGAAAATGACGATATATGCAAAAATCAAATAACGAAGAGAGATAAACATTGTCAAGTGACTTGGGCTGTAGCCAGGAACTGACAATGTTAAAAAAATGTTTTGCAGAAGATTTTACATTTAAAAGCTGTAAACTATGACTGATCGTGGGAATTTATTTTTAAGTATGTTTCATTAGTTCAAGGTAGAATGACAATAAATGTGAAGAACATGCCTGGGATGTGTTTTTGTTTTTTCTTTTTTGCTTTTATTCAGCAAAGTATACAATTTTTTCCCCAAAATCATTAAAAAAAAAAAAAAAAAAACAAGCAAAGAACAGTAACAAAAAACAGCACACATGCCACAAATAAAACCAAACATAGCTGTTTCTCTACTGATAACATATTTTGTCTTTTAATTTTGGCATGTCGAAGTCACAGAAACTCACAGTCTTATATGCACACCCAAAGATTCTAAGTGCTTATTTAGGAAGTATCTTTATTCGAAACAAATAATTATTTCAAGTTATAAAACTGATGGCTTATAGAATGCAGCTTACTAAATTGGTCTTTGTTCTTACAAACTAGAGTAATCTTGTCCTTTGAGAGTTGAAAATATATATTCATGTACATTTCTGCAGCGAGCGGCCCACAGTTAATTTTCATCATTGGTGGGGTTGGTAGAATGTTCACTCTCTTCTGCTGCGGTGCTGTGTCTTCGTTGACTTGGAATAGCAGGAAGCACTCGGTTTGTCCGCAGAGGTTCTCCAGATAGAACTGGGGAGAAAGAATAGAATGAGAGACTTTCAAGATTTGCTTCTCTCACAGGAAAGTGGCAGGAGAATTGTGTTGTGTTTTAGGAGTGGAGGCATTTCTAAAAAGTGTCCTGGTGAGAGCTAGACTGCAGAGGGAAGGTGTGTATGCATATCTTGTATCTACATCTGTTCAGACTTGCCGCATGAAGTCTGGGATTTCAAATATGCACACGTACAAGACTGTCCTAAGACTGATACAGGACTGTGCTAAGTTTGATCAAACATGACTGGGCTGTGCATGCCTGGAAGAGCTCTTCCTTGGGGGTGGAGTAGCTGTTGATGGTCAACAACTGCTCACAAGGCTCTAAAGAAGCCCCAAGACATTTGTACTGTGCTTTTTAGGCAAACCTCAAAAGGCTCTTAGGTTTCTTTTAGGAAAAGCACTGTATGCCCTTCCTTTTTTTTTTTTTTTTTTTTTTGTCGAGCTAAGTTGATCAAGGAGCTTTATCTTTCCTTCTCTCCTGAAACTTAACTGTGAAAAGCAAAGCTCCTGGGACCTGCCAAAGAAAACCTCTCTTTGGCTTCTCCAAGCCCCATCAGGATTCAAGACTGAGCAACTCTTTCCTTAACTAGAAGTTTTTGTGGCTTAAAGACAGATTTGAGCTTGAATTTCACTCAATGTTAGAATTAACACCATCCAAAATGTTCACTTTACACAAATCTGTAAAGGGCAGAGGAACTGATCTGTCAAGGAAGAGGTCTTGGCTTCCACCACTAACTCTCTGTGTGACCTTGGACATATCCCTCTACCTTTAGTTTTCTTATCTGCCAAAAGATATACTTGTACTTAGGCCCTATAGTTCATTGTTTTTACCTAAAGAGTTCTAGAGCTCTTGGTTTGTCTCCTTCAACTCCTAGCCTGGGGGAGAAAGACATACTGGGCAAACAGTGTGCCAAGTGTTTTACTATGTTATCTCATTTAGTACTCCCATAAATCTTATTAGGATGGCACTATTGCTATAGACAGTGAGGGAACTAAAGTACAGAAAGGTTGAGAATCTTGTCTGCAATAGGACAGCTCCTAAATCATTTAACCTGCACTTAAGAGGATGTGGAGGGGCTGTGTGTGTGTGTGTGTGTGTGTGTGTGTGTAAATGAGGTGGGGTGCAATTGGAAGAAAAAAAGAAAAGAAATTAGAATCCAGTAAGTATGGTTTATTTCATGAGGCAGTAAACTCAGTGTCCTGTAGTTTTGTTCCTGGTTCTATAAAGGGAATAATAAAATTTGCTTCAGTTTTATTATTATTATGCTTTAGAGTATAGATATGAGAATATTCAAACTCAGAATCTCTGGGTGGAGGACCCAGGAATCTACTTCACAACAAACACCCCAGGTAATACTTAGGCACACTCAGGTTTGAAGATCACTGGCCCAACAGAGTATCTTAATATTTTATATTAGGAGAGTTTTTTTTTTTTGTATGAAATATTACAAAATAAATCAATAATACCAAAAGTAATCCTGATGAACAGAATTTTTTTTTCTGCTTAGGAATGCCTGGACTGTGAATACAGAGATGATGCACATTTCTATCTGTCCAGTATAGCAAGGAAACTGAAGTCAGGAGGCCAGTCTTTTTTCTTTTTTTTTAAGATGGGGTTTCACCGTGTTAGCCAGGATGGTCTTGATCTCCTGACCTCATGATCCACCCGCCTTGGCCTCCCAAAGTGCTGGGATTACAGGCGTGAGCCACTGTGACCGGCCCACGAGGCCAGTCTTAAGAGATAACTTTTAAAGCACCTTCTTAAAGACATTAAATAATACCTATCAAAATAAATGGTTATTGTTTCAATAGTTAAAACACAAAAATTCCTGAAGGGAGGGAGTATTCTTTTTTTTTTTTTTTTTTAAATAAGCATTTAAAAAAAGCTTTAAAGATGATCTCTGTTTTCCTGTAATTTATAAGTGTTGGCACTTGATGTTCCCTTGAAAAATGAAAGTAGGGCCAGGTGTGGTGGCTCATGCCTGTAATCCCAGCACTCTGGGAGGCTGAGGCAGGCAGATTACTTGAGGTCAGGAGCTTGAAACTAGCCTGGCCACCATGGTAAAACCCTGTCTCTACTAAAAATACAAAATTAGTCGGGCATGGTAGCACATGGCTGTAGTCTCAGCTACTTGGGAGGAGGCAGGAGAATTGCTTGAACCTGAGAGGTAGAAGTCGCAGTGAGCCAAGATAGTGCCACTGCACTCTAGCCTGGGCAACAGAGCAAGACTCCATCTCCAAAAAACAAACAAACAAACAAACAAAAACAGAAAAAAAAAAGAAAAATGAAAGTAAACTGAAATAACATTTAGCTATGTCTGATGTGTTAACACTTGCAAAGGAAGCTGAGGAAGGTTCATAATACTTACATTTTTGATCTGGTAGGGGAGCTAGGTTGTTCCGAGTGAAAGGAAGGTCCCTGATTTTTTGTCTGTTTGGGGAAAGACGCTGAAAATTTTGTCCTGAAGATAAACATATTTGCATCAATTACTTGAGTCTCAACCAAGTACAAATTACAAAATGCAATGGATAAGAGAATCATCAAAGTTCTTACAGGCCACTAAGTGGTAACAATAACAATGAAAACAATAATGGCTACACTTTATTGCATTTCTGTTATATATATACCAGTCACTGTTTAAATGATGGAAGAAAGTACTAGAAATCATTTCTTGCATGAACTAGTTTAAATAAAATTTTATAAAGAGGCACAGTTGGTTACTCACCCCATAAAAGTTAAAGTTAAAAGAAAAAGAAAATAATATAGATATGGCATATTTTATCATATGTTTATCAAATCTTTGATGAAATGAGTAGGTGTTGAGTAGACTATTTTCTTTTCTTTTTTTTTTTTTTTTTTTGAGACAGAGTCTTGCACTGTCTCCCAGGCTGGAGTGCAATGGAATTATTTTGGCTCACTGCAACTTCTGCCTCCTGGATTCATGCAATTCTCTCACCTCAGCCTCCCAAGTAGCTGCGATTACAGGCACCTGCCACCATGCCTGGCTAATTTTTTTAATTTTGTATTTTTAGTAGAGACGGAGTGTTTCGCAATCCTGGCTGCACACAGGAATTATCTAAGAAGTCAGAAAAAATACTGCTGTCCTAGCCACATCCTAGATTATTAGATCAGAATGTCTGGACGTGGGGTGCGGTGTCAGATGTTTATCAGCTCCCAGCTGATTCAAATGTGCAGCCAAGATGGAGAATCATTGATCTGGAAGACGGAATGGGGTGAAAGGAAGCACTTGGGAAATCTATTCTCTAACTTGGACAGAAAGCAATGATGTGTTCGTGGATCATGTGAGCCAGCTCTTGAGAGCTGATGGTTACATTTTCAGAAATTTTGTGAACTGTTTGACATCACACTAGTGTCTTGAAATCGGCCATGGTGGATGTATTTACACTGTGAAAAATCGGCAAGCCCAAATTTTTCTCCTGGAAAGCCAGCTGTTAAACATTGATCAATGTACTACTGACTTTAAGAGATGGATGTGGCCAGGCGCGGTGGTTCACGCCTGTAATCCCAGCACTTTGGGAGGCTGAGGTGGGTGGATCACAAGGTCAAGAGATTGAGACCATCCTGGCCAACATGGTGAAACCCCGTCTCTACTAAAATACAAAAAATTAGCTGGGCGTGGTGGCGAGTGCCTACAGTCCCAGCTACTCAGGAGGTTGAGGAAGGGGAATCACTTGAACCTAGGAGGTGAAGGTTACAGTGAGCCAAGATCATGCCACTGCACTCCAGCCTGGTGACAGAGCAAGACTTCGTCTCAAAAAA